CCTCGTCCTCAGCTTGGACCCCAGTGATGGTGCCCGTGGAGCCAGATACAGACCAGGAGAATCGTGCAGGGATGTCTGAGGGTCTCTTGTTGCTACCATAGATCACAGTGACAGGGGCACTGCCAGGTGTCTTCTGTTGGTACCAGCCATACCAATTGCTACCCCCGGAGCAGGTGATCTGGACGGTTTGTCCTGGGTTCGCTGACACCGAGGTCAACTGAGTCAGCGCTGCCTGGACCAGGGAACCTGGAGATGGAGAGGAGAGAAGAGAGAAGACGGGGGTCAGACAGTGCCCCACCAGCACAACCCTTCCTCTGGGCAGCGCAATGTGTTCCGAATGCCACAGTCAGAGGAGAATAGAGTCAGATAAGATCACAGACATATTTTTGAAGTAGAGCATAGTCCAACGTAGGCCAGCACAGATGTAAGACAAGGCCATCAGTAGCAAGAGGCACTGGGGATGACAGAGAAATCCACGCTGTGAATTTTGTATGGACAGAGACAATGCTTCCCCACCATAGAGTCACCTCCAGTGCTCGAGGACTAAAAGGAGGATATTCACAGCCATGATTGAGCAGAGGGCACAGGAATGTGCCTCAGTCTCACAGCCACAACTGCTTTGCTGGGAGGGAGAAGGGGTGAAAACCTTCTTCTGACTTAATCGTCTGTGTCTCACTTCCTATTGTCACGAGACACCATAGCTGCTGCTGCTGTCCCAGCTACCACAGTAATAGACAGCCTCGTCCTCGGCTTGGACCCCAGTGATGGTTAACGTGGCTGTGGAGCCGGACTTGGATCCGGAGAATCGTGCAGGGATGTCTGAGGGTCTCTTGTTGCTACCATAGATCACAGTGACAGGGGCACTGCCAGGTGTCTTCTGTTGGTACCAGCCATACCAATTGCTACCCCCGGAGCAGGTGATCTGGACGGTTTGTCCTGGGTTCGCTGACACCGAGTGCTGCGTGGACCAGGGAACCTGGAGAAGGAGAGGAGAGGTGCTGTTTGTCAGCCAGTGCTCCACCAGCACAGCACTCCCTGGGCCTCAAGATGGGACTTGTGAAGTTAAGAGCCATGATACCACCAAGAAAACTGAGGAAACCAGAGACCCATGCTCAGA